CCCCGTGAGCCCAGCACAGCTGTATACAGCCTCCCAGCTACCTGCCACAGCTGGCCTGGGCTCTGCAGGTGGCGCAAACATTCAAAAACAGCAGATGGCGCACAAGCTGCTAACAGCTTCACCAGGCTCTGGAGCCCCAGCAGTGACTTCATACTGGTGGTGACTGAACGTGTGCCTTGGCAAACATGGCAAGGATAGGCCAGGGCAGCACAACCCTGACCCCTCCACTGCCATCTGCCTGAAGGCATGTGTAGCTGCCACCAACAACGAGGATCAAGTACCTCACGGCCTGCCCCGTTAACTTAAATATGTTAAGTTGAGGAGTGGGCTGAGGTTGGGGTATTTTTGGTACTCTGGCCACAAAAGTTGCTGAACCCTGGTTTGTCATATTATTGGCATTGTACTACATGGTTGCATTTTATATTTTTTAAAATATAAGTTATAGTGTATGCAAGTATAGGTTAGTGGACCCACACAAAGCGTCAGAATGCTCTGGGGCTCTCAAAGCAATTAAAGAGAAAATTTATACAATCTTTGAATGCTCAACAAATGGGATATAGATTACACAGCTTGCCTGTTATGCAACCCTGAAAATCCATGACTATACAATTGATTCAATTACATTCTCCATAGAAATAATATAACTGAGATGCCAGATTGCAAAAAACTATGGGACTACAGATACTGAATGTTATGTTGCATAGCTACAGCAGCTAAGAGTGTAGGAAAAAATACTGCAATCCCTTTTCAACACAGCTAGCCAGAAAATCCTCTAATGTAGATAGATCTATGTTGACAGAAGGATACTTTTGTTATTTTAACTTAAGTTTTATGGGGAGGTCTACTGTTCTGGCTCAGTGGTAGAATTGTTGTCTACAATATAGGAGACCCTGGCTCAATTCCAAGATGTGCACATAGCTACAACCATCAAGGCACTTAATATCCAGACTCAGTCTGGCCTTTGGATTCTGTCTCAATGGCCTAAAGCAAGAATGGAAGGTCTGGGCAACCTCTGCTCTTCCACTCCTGCCTAGACATCTGTGTCAAAGATCTGGGTGACCTCTCACATATGTACCATGATCCAGAAGAATTGATGGTTGCCTACTACTGTGAGGAGGTGGTATGACAGGCAGGAAGAACTCCTTCCACTTTCATATCCTGTATCTGGACTACGAGACTTGTCAAGATAGGTATATTTCCATGGGTTCTGCAAATAGTCCCTAAATTTTATATTCACACAGATATGGACGTATGTATGATAGAATAATTTTGTAAGTACTTCTGGAGCATATAAGCAGTTACATATTTTAAAAACTTTATAATTAAATGCATACAATTTTAGAATGGTTTCCATGTAAGCATTTCAGGATTCTTTTTAAGCATTAGTAAATTAAACTTCATAACCCTTAGAATACCTAAGCATTATTTAACTTTAGTGTTCCCATTTCTAAATGCTTAGCAGTCACATTTTGAGACTATTATCAATAATTTCAGAGATAACATTTTTGGTTGAACCTGAACAAATCAATATGATATAGTGTAATTTAGTCTGACTTGATGCATGACAGTCCCTTCCAATTTTAACATATGGATTGTGTGCGCAATGCTGTAATCCATTATGAGACCTCTTGGTCTGATTTCAGCTCTGCCAAGAACTAGCGGTTACAATTTTTGTTCCAATGGTATTGCTTAAAGTTAACTACATAGCCAATAGCACACTTGAGAATTGTTATAAGAGTAGAAATTGGCATACTAGAGCTGGAATTTTCAAAAACATTTAACAGAGCAAGTTAAAATAACTGGCTTCAAAATAATATCTATATATGTATATATTGAGAGAGGTTAGCTTAAATTTTCTCCCTCTCTCACTCTTTTCATTGACATTACCACACATGGACTGAACCTTCACTAGAGTAAACTCTTAAGCAGAAAAAACAACTGAGACTACAGTAACATTTGAGAGTTCTTCTATAGAGCCTGGCCCTGGCTCTGGCCCTGGTGCAGTCACAGGGAAAGCCTCCTGCCACTGATGCACTGCAGAAGCTATGAGGACTGCACTAGACTGGAATTGGATTGTTTCCAACTTGAAAAGTTTGCCAGCTGCCAAAATACTGCATGGGTACAATAAACAAATGAACAATAACAAACACACAAACCCAAATACCACAGCTTAGATCCACCAGCCCTTTGGACTTTAAGCTATTAAATAGAAGGCTATTTTGCAAAAAGAAAGGATCATTTCACTTTACTGGTAGCATTTTAGAAAATGTTATTGTTATATCAACAAACTAAGATAGTATGTTGCAATTTCATATTGTTTCAAGACTGATAAATATTTGACCAACAGAGAGAATAAAAAGCTATTTCTAAAATAAATAAATGAAATCAGAAGTAGAATTTGTTTTGATGAAAAATGTATTTAAAATAACCATAGATTTGCAGGGGTTTGGGTTGTAGCCATGTTGGTCTAAGGACATAGGCAGACAAGGTTCCTTGGGTGAATTTGATATCTTTTATTAGACCAACCGAAATGGTTGGAGAATAGTTATTAAGCAAGCTTTCAGGTTCAAAAACCCTTCGTCAAGCTAAGGAAGTTTCAGCAGTTGGTGTGTGCTCTTCCTGGATGGAATAAAAAGTAAAGAAGCCAGGGGCTCGGCTGGGCTTGAAAGAGCCACCTGGATACCACGTGAAGAACTGCTGCAGTACAGAAGAAAAACACCCACAAATCGCACACCGCTGGTTATGACGCATCACCCCTCCCTTGAACCTGTATGGAAAGTCCTCAAAAAATTGCAACCCATATTAGAAAGAGACCCTATTCTTAAAAAGATCTTCCCAGAGCCACCCATCCTAGCCTTCAAACAAGCACCAAACCTCACCAACCTCATCACCAGAAGCAAACTTCCTCAAGCCCAGAACACACCAAAAGGATCCAGACCGTGCCAGGACAAGAAATGCAAAACCTGCCAACACATCTCCAGCACCCCCACTATTACTACACCCCACAACAGAGCCATCAGCATCCCTGCATCTTACAGCTGCACCTCCAGAAATGTAGTATACCTCATCCAATGCACCAAATGCCCTGATGGAAGATATGTAGGAGAGACCAAACAACAACTGCGCACCAGAATGAATGCACACCGGAAATCCATCAAAGACAGAAATACCCAATTACCGGTGGGGGCACCTTTCTCACAGGAGGGCCACTCTCCCTCCAATCTCTCAGTCCTGATCCTCAAGCGAAACTTACACAACACTTCCCAGAGATGAGCCTATGAACTCCACACACACCAACTGCTGCAGCTTCCTCAGCCTGACAAAGGGTTTTTGAACCCGAAAGCTTGCTTAATAACTATTCTCCAACCATTTCAGTTGGTCTAATAAAAGATATCAAATTCACCCAAGTAACCTTGTCTGCCATAGATAAATTTACCATTTATCTATGGTAAAACACAGATTATAGATCTATAAAAATCATTTAAAAGTTTAAACCAGTGGTTTTCAACTTTTCTTGACCTGAGGCACCCCTCTGTAACTTTGTGAATTGAGTGGCACCCAATTTAAAAAACGGATATGCAGTGCTCGCCTCCTTGCAGAGAGGCTGAGCAGTGGGGTTGGGGAATCATACAGGCAGGGGCAAGCCTGGAGCCTGTGCTTATCTGTTTAACTTTTCTGCTTATCGCCTCACACAGCACCCTTCCAAGGATCTGGCAGCACCCCAGGGTGTCACAGGACCCTGGCTGAGAATCACTAGTTTAAGCAGCATACTTGCTGCAGAAAGTCAAATCACTAAACTGGGGAGAAGTCTTTCATTATTCACCTAGCATTTCAGTCTGTAGATGTTTCGTTCTAATTTATTCAAAACTGGGAAACCATTTTTTTTGCATTTGAATTCTAATTCCATTAAAATAAAGCCTGACAAGTTATATTTAAGGACCTACCAAATTTGGGGAAGCTGCTCCCCCGCCCCCCCATTCCATGGTCTGAGTGTGGTGCCAGTCACCATTTTCAAAGCAGAACACAGTGCCCGCCGGCCTCTGATTGGCTAAGGGGTCCCAGAAGTCCTGCCCCCCCCCCCACTTGCTGGTCATTTTCATGCTTTGTTTGCGGTCCCTGCACTTTTTCGTGGGGGACCTATCAAAGATTGACAGATTGTAAGG